GTTGAACGATTTTGAGAAAAAAATGTTTTTTTGAAAAAACCCCTCTTCCCCCCCCCCCCCCTTCCTCAGGGATGGTCTGGTCAAAAATCACAATTTTTTTCGATAACTCAGCCATTTCTTGGCGGATCCTTCTCATCTTCGAACTCGACCGCGATATTGTCAAGACTAAGCTGTGTAGAAAATTTCATCGCAATCTGACTCTCCTTTCGAAAGTTATCGTGTAAACGGCCGGACGGACACAGACCGATTTTAGTAGTGTACTCACTTTTTGAGTACACTAAAAAGTCGCTCAGGAATTAAATAGTGAAAATATTACTGATGAATTTGCCAAATCCAAATGTAAAATAAGTTTTACGAATGGACCAAATAAATTGCCTTGCTTCTTATGTGCTTTCTTTTCTTTTGATTTCCTTTTTGTCCAAGTCATATTCATATTATACCATATATCGTATTGGGTCCTGATTTTCCTTAAATCCTGATTTCCTAATCTTTTTTCAAACCTTTCTGACTCATTCTAAATTTGGCAAATAATTATGATTTTTTGGATACTTTTGCATAAGAGTACCAAAAATTGAAAGAAGCAGAACTATTAACCATAGCTAGGGTCAATCAGAACCCAATGCAGTGTAATATGTATACATAAAGATGAACAATAATAAATTGTAAAATATTCGCCATGATAAAAAGAAAAAACTCGTACTTAAAATGACTAAAAAGAAAATTAATTCTCCCCTTTCCAAAAATCCTGGCTGCGTGCCTGGAAGTAAAATTCATTTTCTTCAAGACAAGATGCTACTATTTCGTCAAGTTTTCTCGTGTGTACATCATTTATTTAGTTTTTCTTCTGTTCTTATTCCAAAAATGTTTCATCATTAAATGGATTATTTGCTTTTATCAAAGTGTATTTTGACAAAAATTGTCATGAGAAAAAATGAATAATTCATTAAATAAAACAAGCCATTTCTTTATTACCATATAATTGCAGGAAGTTGATGAAGATAATGCTGAAGAGAAGATCGATCAGCGTTAAATAACATCGATTATGATCAAAAGCATTATTTTTATTTTTATTTTTATTATAATGACGACGATATGATATTTAATGCTACTTCCTTTAACTTGGAACAAAAAGATAAAGGAAAACATGAAATATTAAGTTAGATAAATAGTTAAATGACGCAAAAATCTCATAAAAGACTGTTGAGTTGGAAGATGATAAAAAGATTCTGACTGTAAAAAAGATACTGGGACAAACAAGCAAACCATCCTTTAAAAAAAGTATCATACCAAATCTGTTAGGATTCCACGTTTTGGTATCATTTTTTGAACCTTTTTTAGGTCTATTCAAAAAAGCCCAGAACTTGAAAAGTATTTAACTAGAAATTGTAGAACATAAAGAGGTTTTAAACTTCTTCGTGATAACTTGAAAAGGTTCAGGACATGGTATCGAAATCTAGAACCCTAAAAGATCTAGTATGATAGTTATGCTTTAAATATTAAGATAAATTGAAGATAACCAATAATAAAAGAACAAAAACAAGTTAGCAACAACATGGTATCATCTGCTATTGCTAATATTAATGTAAGCTGATTAAAATGAAGTTGTCGAAAAAAAATGCTTTTCATCTTTAGATTTAGTTTTAATTATCTAAGATCAACCGAATTTTTGAATATTCATAGAAAAAACTCATCGAAAAAATGTTTTCAATTGCACAATTTCGTTTCAGATACTTGAAACACCATTAAGATCGAACATCTCATTATTCATTTTACTTTCATCATTAAGTATTTTTGTTGAACTAATTATTTCAACTGAATTGATAATATAAATGTTTGCAAAAAACATTTAATTGCTTTGTCTTTTAAATGATTAACTGAGAGTTTATAAGAGAAAACGAAATAACCTTATGTGATTTATCTTTTAATATGATTGTAGAATAAAACTTTGAGTCATTTATATACTCACCATATATTATCTTTTTTTGTATGAATTTCAGCGAAATATTTATCAACTGTCGATTGAGAATACCTCACTATAATGATCTTCTGAATATTATGTACACAAGTATCTAATATGAGATTAGATTTCTATTTCTATTTGTTTTCTCGCCAAACATCTTGTCTAATAACACATTATGTGAAGTTTTTTAAAAAAATTGATAAATTTTATTTCTGATGAGGAAAATTTATTGAATAAATGAAATTAATTTCTTGAGGAAAAAAGGTCTAAAATAAGTCTCTAGTGTTGAATAGATTGTGTCACTTTGTTTTATTCATCGTTATCATCGTTTGGTTGTGGTTGAAGTATGAGTGGATGTTCATGTTCTTTCTTCGCACATGCTGAACAAAGATCATAATCACCACAGGTAGGACAACAATATCTTTGACCAACAAGAGGAGCCATTCCACATCCGTCACATCTAACAGATGCCCATCGATATTCATCTGGAGAAGGACGAGCTAATTTTTCACCCAGTGACCATGTTTCTAAAGCTTTAATACCAAGCCTTGCAACATCTTCACGACCGTGACGTGATAAAATTGTCCCATCGGATGACACAACAATCAATGATGGAATACCTTTTATGTAAAAGACAAATATTAACTGATAAATAAATTTGGTAGAAGTAATTCTTACCAGAAAATGCAAAGTATGTCATAAGAATTGCACCTGAATTCATTGGAGCTGCAGGCCAAGGCATTTCTGATCGATAACTATTGAATGAATCTTCATCTCTATCACATGATACAAATATAATATGAAAAGAACGAGAATTTATTTGTGCTTTTTGATAAATTTCAGCTAGTTCTGGTGTGAATATGCGACAAGGTGGACACCAATGTGCCGAAAAATAAAATCCAACACTTTTAATGTCATTTGTCAACATTGTTTTTGTTTCAATTTTTCCTTCTTTTTTAGGATCAAGTAAATAAGATATCGATGATAAAAGTGTTTCTAATGAATATTGTCTTTTCGGAATAAGATATTCAACAAGAGGATGTTCATGTTTATTTTTTGATAAACATGTTCCACATAAATCAAATTGACACTCGGGATTTTTACAACCATGTCGTGAACCAACTAAAGGCTTCATAAAACATTCAGTGCAACTAGTATTTTCCCATACATATTCATCGTCTCGTGGTTGACGAGTCCAAAATAAACGTTTCCCTTGAGACCATTTATGTAAAGCTTCTTTTGGAGCACCGTTTATTTCACTGACACCATCCAAAGCTATTATTTCAAGCGAAGGAGACAGAACAATCAAACATGGAATACCGTCGACGTCGAATTTTTCACCTAATATCTTCGAACGATCACGATCTAAGTTCAAATATGTTCATGAAATAATGTAAAGAAATGAAAAGTTAAAAGAAATTCTTCTTTGTACGACAATGAAAAGGATTAATAGGGCAAAGACCATATTGATAGATTTTTTTCATAATAGTACATTACTTTTTTTTTCTCTTATTAGTTAAATTTAAAAAAAAATTATCATACTAGAGAAAGGTAATGCTTTCCATGGCATATCTTTGAAATATTCATTAAAACCTTCTTGATTTTCATCACATGAAACAAAAACAATATCCAATTTGTTTTTTATTTCATCATTAACTTCATTGAATACTTTAGCTAATTTTGGTGTAAAATTTCTACAAGGTGGACACCAATGAGCTCTATAAAATAAACAAAAATAATCATTTCATTTTTAAATTTATGTACAATAAACAGACGAGAAATAAAGTGCCACAGTTTTTCCATCAAGTTGATTTGTTGATATTAGACTTGATTCATCACCAGATTCATTGTGTTGAACAAGTTCTTCTCCTAATAATTCATTGAATTTTGTCGCCATATTTTTTCTTTTCTAAAATATATTTTTAATGTAAAAATATTTGATCGTCTCGTTTTATAGTAGAAATAAAAATACGAGTATCTCAAGCTATTGTCATTGTTTTATGAAACGTGTATTCGATATAATATATGACTCCTGTTTTTCATTTTGCTTTGTGTTTACTCATTTATTCATTCTTTTTTTTTCTTCTCTGTTTAACTTAACAAACATATTGGTTTTTATACATCATGTCAAGGTAAACGATTATTACCACATATGAAAAGTAATAGTTATTTGCAACTATTATTCATATATTCACATTATTTCTTCAAATTGTGAATAGTTGTTTTGATGTATAGATTGATAACGCTATTTTTTATTATTTTGTACAGTTTGCTGTATTTATGCAAAACATCGACGGTTTGTTATTTTTTTATACAGTTGAATAGACCATCGATTACTCTATCGAATCATATAGTTTATATTTTATTTTCGGCGATTCTGGTCGAAAAATTTGATAAATATCAAAAAGTGCTTTTTATCCAGTCGATTTCATATCATTTTTGAGACATTTTTTCGATGATTATTATTTATTGGGATATTGAAAGTTTTTATTTTAATTCTATAGAATACTACATCGGTACTTTCTCTATCGAACTATATATATATATTTTAGATGGTTTTATATCATATTTCTACTATAAATTTAGTTAATTTCTCAGAAACTTATTCGTAAACTTTTTTCATATACATAGTTTTCGGCTGTTTTTAGAGAACTTTTGGGTTTTTGAACATCTAATATTCATTTGTTTATCAGGTACTATAATAGAGCGAAGTTGATTTATCTATTATTTACAAAGTTTCGATCATATTTCCGTCGAGTTTTACAAGTACATTTTTCCTAAAAAATAATAGAAACTTGCTTTTTCACTGGTAAAAATATGGATCAAAATTAAATAATCAAAGTCAGTTTTCTCCTCAATTTCGAATCTGTTTTGTTTAGTATTCTTTTTTCACGTGGAACTATAATAGATCTCTTTCATCTAAAGCAATTTTTATTATTATTCATTTTATTGTTGGTGAAAGATGAGCGTGCAAAAGTTTTGTTTGAGCATTTCTCGGATTCTATCAAATTTTTCGATAAGATGGAAAATAAATAACATAAAAACTATATAATCCGATAGAGTACTTAATGCTCTATCCGACTATATTAAAATAAAAAGCCTTTAATGTTTTGCATAAATACAGCAAACTACAAAAACCTATCAAAAATAACGTTATCAAACTGTATAACAATATTAAATAAAACTTCATTTGATCAATTGAAAAATTTATGAAAAATTTCACAGTAATTTCAGTGAGATATTTTTTTTCATTTTGTTGATATTGTATCTTTAGTACCATATTGAATTAATAAATTGTGGTTAAGATCCTAATATCAAGCCTCAACATCAGCATTTTATTATGGAAAATAATGTTCAAATTTCTGATTGATATTTCATATTTACACAACAAATTTTTTTGTTTTCCTTAAATTAAATACATCACATATAGATGTAAAAATATACTTATACATTATGTCCTTTTATCTTAATTAACAAAGATAACTCTATTAATTAGAGTTTAATAAAAG